TGTGACTGGACACTGCTCATCTGTTATTCATTTCATGCACAAACAGCAAAGCATAGTTCTGTTACCTTCTAGTGATAAACCCATGTGACATTTTACAAAAATGGATAACTGAAAGAGAAAACTGGCCAACAAAGATGAAAGTGCAGCAAAGAAATGAAAAGCGGTTAACACTGAAAGTGAAATTCAAATCAAGCATAAAAAATAGCTGACCATGGGAATGTTGACACCGCTGCTGTTAAACACTCTACATAAGCAGCCCGAGGAAATTAGTGAAGGCAAACGTAAATGAGCAAAGCGGATGTCTTAGTCATCTAGTGCTGCTGTAACAGAAATACCACAAGTGGATGGCTTCAACAAACAGAAACTTATTTATCTCACAGTCTAGTAGGTTACAAGTCCAAATTCAGGGCGTCAGCTCCAGGAGAAGGCTTTCTCTCTCTGTTGGCTCTGGAGAAAGGTCCTTGTGACTCATCAGTCTTCCCTTGGTCTGGGAGCATCTTAGCGCAGGAACCTCAGGTCCAAAGAACACGCTCTGCTCCCGGCACTGCTTGCTTGGTGGTATGAGGTTCCTGTGTGTCTCTGCTCGCTTCCGTCTTTTATATCTCAAAAGAGATTAGCTTAAGACACTAATCTTGTAGATAGTGTATAACTGCCACTAATCTATCTTATTCCATCATAGTGATAAGAGTTTACAACACATAAGGAAATCAAATCAGATTACAAAATGGTACACAGTCATACAATACTGGGGATCATGACCCAGCCAAGTGGACAGATATTTTGGGGGGACGCAGTTCAATCCATGACAGTGGATATGATGAAAAGGATGAAGGTCTCAGAGAAAGTGCCGCCAGCAAAAAGCTACATATTAAAGAACTCTCAGAGGTATTTCACAACCATGAAAACGCAAACGATAATGTATTAAGCCAATCCAAACTTAGAAAGCAGTATGACAATTCACCAAGACACATAAAAACGCTTGCTCTGTATTGTCAGTTCTACGACAAGAAGGCAGCAAGTACTGTTCAAATCACTTTTGGTGAAATTTTTACAAAGCAATAAGTTGTTAATATTTCTAATATTTAAATTAGAGTGTTATTAAATATGTTTTACTATTTTTTTCATTTCCCTGTACATTTATAGAACCCAGTGAGTTTTTAATGTTTTGACAAATATTTTTAAAGGTCATGGAATAACTGTACTTTCTCCTATCAATTATTAAGATCACTCTGCAAGGTTTCAGTGTACACAATGATTTTTACAGTCCCACACTATAATACAAAGTGAGGACTGCCTGTACTTTAACCTGCATAGTACACCCACAGTTCATTTCTTTCACAGCTCTTACTACATGCTGCAATTGTTTTATTTGTTAGCCTTTCTCCCCCCACTTATGACAAGGTTTGGTTTGTCTGCCACTCTCTTTCTGTCATGGATTGAACTGCGTCCCCCAAAAAATGTGGCTAGGCCATGATTCCCAGTACTGTGTGATTGCTCACCATTTTTGTCATCTGATGTGATTTTCCTATGTGTTGTAAATCCTATCTCTATGACGTTGATGGGCTCCAGGAATTGATGGAATATCAACTGAGATGTTTCAACAAACAGATGCAGCGCTGGAAGTGCTTACTCGTCTATGCCAAGAAATTTGGAAGACAGCTACCTGGCTAACTGACTGGAAGAGATCCATATTTATGCCTATTCCCAAGAAAGGTGATCCAACTGAATGTGGAAATTATCGAACAATATTAATATCACACGCAAGTAAAATTTTGCTGAAGATCATTCAAAAGCAGCTGCAGCAGTACATCTACAGGGAACTGCCAGAAATTCAGGCCGGATTCAGAAGACGACTAGAACCAGGGATATCATTGCTGATGTCAGATGGATGCTGGCTGAAAGCAGAGAATACCAGAAAGATGTTTACCTGTGTTTTATTGACTATGCTAAGGCATTAGATTGGGTGGATCATAACAAATTACGGATAACAATGTGAAGAATGGGAATTCCAGAATACTTAATTGTGCTCATGAGGAACCTGTACACAGATCAAGAGGCAGTTGTTGCACAAAACAAGGGGATACTGTGTGGTTTAAAGTCAGGGAAAGTTGTGCATCAGGGCTGCATCCTGTCACCATACCTATTTAATCTGTATGCTGAGCAAATAATCCAGGAAGCTGGACTATATGAAGAAGAAAGGGGCATCAGGATTGGAGGAAGACTCATTAACAACCTGTGATATGCAGATGACACAACCTCGCTTGCTGAAAGTGAAGAGGACTTGAAGCACTTACTGATGAAGATCAAAGACCATAGCCTTCCGTATGAATTACGCCTCAACATAAAGAAAACAAAAATCCTCACAACTGGACCAATAAGCAACATCATGATAAACGGAGAAAAGACTGAAGTTGTCAAGGATTTCATTTTACTTGGATCCACAATCAACACCCATGGAAGCAGCAGTCAGAAAATAAAAAGATGCGTTGCATCGGGCAAATCTGCTGTGAAAGACCTTTTTAAAGTGCTGAAGTGAAGATGTCACCTTGAAGACTATGGTGTGCCTGAACAAAGCCAATCACATCATACACACATGAAAGCTGGACAATGAGTAAGAAACACCAAAGAAGAATTGACGCTTTGAATTGTGGTGTTGGCAAAGAATGCTGAATATACCATGGACTGCCAAAAGGACGAACAAATCTGTCTTGGAGGAAGTACAACAACAACGCTCCTTAGAAGCAAGGATGGCAAGGCTACGTCTTACATACTTTGGACATGTTGTCAGGAGGGATCAGTCCCTGGAGAAGGACATCATGCTTGGTAAAGCACACGGTCAGCGAAAAAGAGGAAGACCCTCAATGAGATGGATTGACACAGTGGCTGCAACAATGGGCTCAAGCATAATAACAATCGCGAGCACGGCAGTGTTTCGTTCTGTGGTGCACAGGGTCACTAAGAGTTGGAACCGACTTGACGGCGCCTAACAACAACATGATGTTGATGAGAAGGGATTAGCGGCAGTTATGTTACTGAGGCACGACTCAATCTACAAGACTGGACTGTGTCTTGAGCCAATCTCTGTTGAGATATAGAAGACAGCAGAGAGACATGGGGACCTTATACTACCAAGAAAGTTGTGCCAGAAGAGCGCATCCTTTGGACCTGTGGTCCATGCACAGAGAAGCTCCTAGTCCAGGGGCAGATTGATGACAAGAACGTTCCCCCACAGCCAACAGAGAAAATAAGCCTTCCCCTAGAGCTGACACCCTGAATTTGGACTTGTAGCCTACTAGACTATGACAGAATAAGTTTCTCTTTGTTAAAGCCATCCACTTGTGGTATTTCTGTTATAGCAGCACTAGATGACTAACACAATCTCCAAGGGCTATCACAGCACCCAGTGGGCAGAGTACATGGCACATATATGGTGTGCTGAATGAACGTTTTTCTTTTAGTTGGATTGATAATCTAACTTCCTTGAAACTTCCACCCACTGATCCTAATTTTACCCTGTATAACTACATTAAAAAAACAAGGTACACTCTTCTGCACGTGTATCGCATTTGAATAAAATATATTTTAAAAACCATTCTTCTTTTGTTAGCTCTAGCACTCATCTGTTTTTAACAACTGCTACCTTCCTGACTTCAGAGACACTATCAAAGAGTAGTTAAGGGCACAGACTACTGAGTTAAACCACTGGGGTTGGAATCTGAGCACCAACACACTCACTCGTGTGACTCTGGACAAGTTATCAAACCTCTCTGTACCTCAGTTCTCTCATTTGGAAAACCAGGACAAGGCTTCAATTGCTTAAGAGAATTAAATGGGATTATGCATGTGAAGCACTAACCCCGCTTCCTGGCATATGAACGTTAGTCGTCAAAACCACTATTGCTGTCTCACCAGCTAGACAGAAAAGCTCCTCCAAAGTGGCGAAATATTTTCTTGTATCTCTAAGATCTACTTTACACAAATCTCAAGTCTAGATTTAAAATCATCCCACAAGTCTGCCTGGGGCGCCCCTTCCAAATATGCCTGTAACAGCCTCAACCCGGCCCTCCTGTCATTCATCCTAACAGCCATTTTACTACTCTGTCTCTACCATCTGCCCCATGTGGGCAGGTCTATCTCATTGACCATATTATCTCTAACACCGGAAACACCAAACATTTGATAATTAAATGAACAAATTCATCTAGGACTCCATTTCCCCTATAAGAAGATTTTAAAAAATGTTACTGTCTGCTTCTTTCCACTCCCCCACACTGAAAACGCAGACAGTAAACCTTTGTTTCGTTCAATGCTACACCTAGAGGTCTTGCCATGCCAGAGGCTCCAAAATATCTGTCAAAGAATTTTTTTGTTGTTCTTGTTTTTGGGGGTTTTGTTGTTAAAACGGTTGATTTTCTAAGGAATTAAATGCCAATCCTATTTCACTGACGCCGTAAACGCACGCCCAGGTCTATCTGTGCTCATCGTTATCTCCCCAACCCTAAAAGAGTACTTAGAGCAAACACAAGCAACTTAATTATGTATCGAATGAATGAATAAACACGTCATTGTCCGAGGATGAAAGGAGATACAGTAAAATGACAGCTGTAATCTTGGACAAGTGGCTGTGGGAAATTTGAGTAAGGATTTTTGTTTTGTTTCGTTTTGCTACACATAATCCTTTAACTTCCAAGTTCTCCAGAGTGTCGTTATAGTACATAATTGAAACTTCCCTTTTTCTTTACGTAAACCATCCTGCGGAAGAGAATGAGTCAACCCCTCCCCACCTCTCTCTTTCGTTCGGGAGGGAGAGACGTGGCCTTGACACGAGGCCAGGCGGCGGCCCCGGAGCCCCGCGTTCCCTCCCAGACCCGGCGGCCAGCGACCCAGAAGACAGTGCAGCGCGCACAGCCGGAAGATATTACTCGTGCAGAGAAGACCTCACGGGCTCCAAGGCCGGACTCCTGCACTCCGAGCGCCCCGTCCCACTGCCCCGTACTCACCACTAGCGAAGCCGTGAACCCCGGTGAGTCCATGACCCCACATACCCCGTTAAAGCTATAATTTAAAGTTAAGCAAAACTAGGTCTTGGATCCCTGCGCTGGGCGCCGCCATCTTGGAGGAGGGGCCTGTGAGGGCCTGCACTTCCGCGGCCACGTGACGTCGAATCACAACAACAGCACGTGCCAGCCGCGGGAGCAGGACCAGGTATGAGTTCTGGGGAGGAGGGGCGGGGCCTGGAGGTGTGGTCGAGCCAAGTATCGCGCCTCTTCTCGCTGTTTCCTGAGGCTGCTTTGCGATTGGAAGAACTATCGCGAGCAAAAGAGCCTCGGCGGGGATTCCGGAGCAGGGAGCTTTGCAGTAAGGGTAGCACGTGTTTAAATTACATCCCAGAAGAGGCGTGGCTATTGTGGAGGGAGAGACCTGGACGGAAGGAGGAATTTCAGAGGGAGGGGCCTGTGATTCACCATTACTCCCAGTCTAAGTAAGTTATTTTTGTATGATTTATCGCTTGGTTTTATCTGTACAAATTTTGTCTGAATTATTATAAAATAGACTCATTATCAGAAAATTATTAAATAAAGATAATAATAAAACACTTCAGAAGTCTTCTTACTTTAGCAGGGGTGGGGGCCTGGGGACCATGCTTTCAGGGGACATCTAGGTCAATTGGTATAACAAAGCTTATTAAGAAAACGTTCTGCATCCTACTTTGGTGAGTGGTGTCTGGGTCTTAAAAGTTTGCAAGCGGCCATCTCAGATGCATCAATTGGTCCCAACCACCTGGAGTAAAGGAGAAGAAGAATACCAAAGACACGAGGAAAGTATTAGCCCAAGGGACAGAAAGGGCCACATAAACCAGAGGCTTCATCAGCCTGAGGCCAGAAGAACTAAATGGTGCCCAGCTACCACCAATGACTGCCCTGACGGAACACAACGGAGAGTCCCGGATGGAGCAGAAGAAAGGTGGGGTGCAGAACGCATATTCTAGTAAGAAGTCGAGACTTAATGGTCTGACTGAGACTGGAGGAACCCCCGAAAGCATGGCCCCTGGATTCTCTATCAGCCCAGAACTAAAACAATTTCCGAGGCCAACTCTTCAAACGGATTGGACTAGACTGTGGGACATAAAGTGATACTCGTGAGGAGTGTGCCTCTTAGCTCAAGTAGATACAAGAGACTAAACGGGCACCTTCAGATGGAATCACTGGGTGGTGCCCAGCCTGATAAACTGCACCCTGCAGACTCATGAGCTCAATAATTGTCTATTATTGTTGGCCATTGAGTTTTCCAAGTAGGTTTCCTCTACCTATAGATAGTTTGATGGAGTCCCTGAGTGGTGTAAAGGATTAACATGCTCGGCTGCTAACCAAAGGTTGGAGGTTCAAGTCCACCCAGAGTCATCTCAGAAGACAGGTCTGGTGATCTACTTCTGAAAAATCAGCCATTGGAGACTTTATGGAACACAGTTCTACTCTGACACACATGGGGGTCACCATGTCAGAATCTTCTCAGTGGGAACTGGTTACATCTCAGATGTGTGCTAGGTGACTGACACACATTTTCCCATTTAACCCTTATAATAATCCTATGAGGTAGACACTGTTACTGTCCTCAGGTTAAGTAGCCAATCCAAAACTCCAGCTAACAGCACAACCAGGATTAAAAATTTACTTAGTAGCATAACAAATTACCCCAAAATTTAGCATCTAAAAACAACAGTAAATTTAAAATCTCACACAGATTCCGTGGATCAGGAATCTGGGAGTGGCTTGACTGGATGGTTCAGGCTCAGGGCCTCTCGTGAGGTTGCAGTGACAACGTCAGCCAGGACTATATCCGAAGCCTTGATTCTAAGATTCCAAAGCAACTTCTAAGCTGACTCACTCCCATGACTGGCAAATTGGTGCTAGCTACTGGCAGGTAACCTGAGTGCCTCCCCACACTGACCTCTCCATAGGTGTGCCTGAGTATCCTCATGACATGGCAGCTGACTTTCCCCAGAGTGAATGATCGGAGAGGATGAGACAGAAACCACAACACGTTTAATGACCTTCCCTCAGAACTCAGTTTTCATTTCTGCAATAGCCTGTTGGTTACACAGGTCATTCTTATTAATTGTGCAAGTAGAATACACAAGGGTAGGTGAGGATCACTGGGTGCCATCTTGGAGGCTGGCTACCACATCAAAGAAATGCAAGAAAACACATCCACTTGTTGTTAGGTGCTGACTCATAGCAACCCTATGTACAACAGAATGAAACACTGCCCAGTCCTGCACCATCCTCCCTATCATTGCTATTTTTGAGCCCATTGTTGCAGCCACAGTGTCAATCCATCTCGTTAAGGGTCTTCCTCCTTTTGGCTGACTGTCTACCTTACCAAGTATTATGGATTGAATTGTATCCTCCCAAAATGTGTGTCAACTTGGCTAGGCCATGATTCCAGTATTGTGTGATTGTCCACCATTCTGTTATCTGATGTGATGTGATTTTCTTACGTGTTGTAAATCCTACCTCTATGATGTTAATGAAGCAGGATTAGAGGCAGTTATGTTAATGAGGCAGGACTCAATCTACAAGATTAGATTGTGTCTTAAGTCAATCTCTTTCGAGATATAAAAGAGAGAATCGAGCAGAGAGACAGAGGGACCTCATACCACTGAGAAAATAGTGCCAGGAGAAAGCATGTCCTTTGGACCCAGGGTCCCTGTGCTGAAAACCCCTAGACCAGGGTAAGATTGATGACAAGGACCTTCCTCCAGAGCCAACAGCCCCTGGAGCTGGCGACCTGAATTCAAACTACTAGCCTACTAGACTGTGAGACAATAAACTTCTGTTTGTTAAAGCAATCCACTTGTGCTATTTCTGTTATAGCAGCACTAAATAAGACAGAATTTGGTACCGAGAGTGGGGTGCTGCTCTAACAGATACCTAAAACGTGGAAGCAAGTATGAAGCTGTGAATGGGTAGGGGCTAGAAGAGTTTTAAAGTGCCTAATAGTAAAAGCCTAGATTGCCTTGAAAAGACTGTTGGTGGAATTACGGACATCAAATACAATTCTGGTGAGGACTCAGAAGGAAGTGAGGAGAGCTGTTAATACTGGAGACAGTGCAGACGGTGAGAAGCAGGAGCAGAGAAATGATAGCAGCAGAGAATCGGCAGCAGCAGAACCAGGAGACCAAAGCAAGACAGCGCTGGAACCAACCCATGGTGTGAGAGAGCTGACTGTCTTTGCACAGGAGGCTTCTGGGTGGAGTGGAATGCCTCAGGGCACTTATTGGTGGAGCAAGGCTTGCTGACCCATGGAGCAAGAGAGCTGAATGCTTCCAGGTGGAAGTTTACTGGCAGAGTGGGGTCCCTTCAGGCACTTAACAGTAGAGCTAAAGAGCTTTGGAACACTTGCCCCAGTAGAGCAGACTGCAGGCTGGACAAAGGTCCCAAGGGGCCAAGAGGCCAAGGAACTAGGAAGCAGAAGCTGAAGAGATGAGGAACACAGGAAGCAGAGCTGCCTTAATCTCAAAAGGTATGGCCATGACCTCTGGGGTCTCAAAGGGTGGAGCCATGGCCTCTGGGGCTTCAAAGGATGGGACCACAGCTTCCTAGGTTTCAAAGAGTCAGATCTTCACCAACTCGGTTCTGGAGTGTGGGGCTGCCTTTCACGAGTGCCAGCTGGATAGGGCTGGATCTGTTGCCCAAAGCTGAGGGGACAGGGCTGCTATGCCCAAGGGACAGAAGAAAACAGGGTCTTCCGGGGCCGAAGGAGTAGCATCACCAATCAGATGGCCTAGGAGAATGGGGCTGCCCAAAGCCAAAGGAGCAGAGTTGCCATTCCAGTGGGCCTGGAAGGCAGAGCTGAAGCCCAGGGCCAAGGAGCCTCCATCCAGAATCCCGAGATTGTGGCCAATACCCAGAGTCTGGAGGGCAGGGCATTGCCTAAATGGTCTCAGGGAACAGAGGATTATTTTCAAGCCTTGAGAGCTAATGTGTTCTGCTGACTTGCTTGGTGCCTGTTATCACTTCTTTCCCTCCAGTTTCTCTCATTTGTAATAAAAACGTCTAGCTTGTGCCTGTTCCACCATTGTATTTTAGAAGCAGATAACTTGTATTCTAGATTTCACAGATGAAGAAAAATTTTTGGATTTTGGACTTGGAGTTGATGTAAGACTTTTGCTATGATATGATGGGGTGAATGTGTATTACCTGTGTCAAGGACATAAATTTTAGGGGGCCAAAGGGTAGAATGTTATGAATTGAATTGTGTCCCCCAAAAATGTGTGTCAACTTGGCTAGGCCATGATTCCCAGTATCGTGTGATTGTCTGCCATTTTGTCACCTGATGTGATTTTCTTATATGTTGTAAATCCTACCTCTATGATGTTAATGAGGCAGGACTCAATCTACAAGATTAGGTTATATCTTGAGTCAACCTCATTTGAGATATAAAAGAGAGAATTGAGCAGAGAGACAGAGGGACCTCATACCACCAAGAAAGTAGTGCCAGGAGCAAAGCATGTCCTTCAGACCTGGGGTCCCTGCACTGAGAACCTCCACAACCAGGGTAAGATTGATGACAAGGACCTTCCTCCAGAGCTGACCACCGGCTGGAGCTGGTGCCCTGAATTCAGACTTCTAGCTTACTAGACTGTGAGAGAATAAACTTCTGTTTGTTAAAGCAATCCACTTGTAGTATTTCTGTTATAGCAGCAGCAGATAACTAAGACACCAAGCATGATGTCCTTCTCCAGGGACTGGCCCCTCCTTATAACATGTCCAAAGCACATGAGACAAAGTCGCACCATCCTTGCTTCTAAGGATTATTCTGGCTGTACTTCTTCCAAGACAGATTTGTTCATTCTTTTGGCAGTCCATGGTGTATTCAATGTTCTTTGCCAACACCATAATTCAATCGTGTCTTCTTATGTCTTCCTTATTCATTTTCCAGCTTTCACATGCGTATGAGGCAATTGAAAATACTGTGGCTTGAGTCAGGCACACCTTACTCCTCAAAGTAACATCTTTGCTTTTCAACACTTTAAAGAGGTCTTTTGCAGCAGATTTTCCCAATGCAATACATCATTTGATTTCTTGACTGCTGCTTCCATGGGTGTTGATTATGGATCCAAGTAAAATGAAATCCTTGACAACTTCAATCTTTTCTCCCTTTATCATAAGGTTGCTTATTGGTCCAGTTGTGAGGATTTTTGTTTTCTTTATTTTGAGGTGTAATCCATACTGA